TATATATATATCTTCTTGATACCAGAGAACAGTTAATAGAACAAAACCTAATCCAAAGCCTCCTTGAGAGGAAATTCTCAAGAAATCTTAAAGGGACTTTGTAGATAAGTACTAAGCTTTAACAACTCACCTGTCTGTTTTTTTAAGTGCCACCTTTGTATAGGTCACATAGATAACCAAGAGACTTTCAAAATCAATGGCAAAAGGATGTGTATTTAAACTTTTTCTCTCAGTGCTTCTTTTAATCTATGATTTTTTCAAAAATCAGTGAATCTTTGTGAATTTTTATTAACATTTCAAGAGTTTTTATGATTTAAAGGAAGATCTTTTGGCATTTGAATCAAACTTTTTAATACTTTTTGTTCAGCATCTTCAATATCGCTGACAGACACAGCTTCTTACCATATAGCATCCCATTCTTCTTCCTTGCACTGATAAAACTCTGATTTTGTTCAGGTATCAGGCAGGGGAGACTGTTCCTTATATAGCTCTAGGGGGTGAATCTTGATTATCCTAAGCCAATCATGCTCATTCTTGTACCAGAGACTGATTTAGGGATGGTACATGTTGCAGTTATGGTCAATGAGATTTAAAGGCTTTATGGAAAACGTTTCCTTATTTTAAAGAGTCATAAGGAAGGGATGCTGCCTTTCCTCACCCCACCTATCTTGTTTTCTGGACTTCGGATATTGTTGTGAAAGTACATTATGTCTGGGACAACTCTAGCCATGTTGGGATCACAGGAGGGATTAGCAGACACACTGAGGATAGCACGATGGAAAGATGAATGAATCTGGGTTCATGCTAATTTCATCAAACTACTGAATAACCAACTCTCATTCGACTCTATCTCTGTACTTCTTACTTGTCATATAATAAAATAGTTTGTGTTGTTTAAGCCACTTATAGTTGGATCTCCTATTACTAAAGCCAAGAGCATTCTATGAATAGATAATAACAGTATCTGTATAAGATTATCTGCACAGACAGCTCCAACATTTCCTTCCCACCCTGCACAAGAATGCCATTCCCTCACTGAGGAGTGGAGCCTATGTCCTCTCTCCTTGAATCTGGGATGGCCTTATGACTAATTTTGATTGACAGAGTGTGGCAGAATTTCTTTGACTTCTCAGCCTAGGTCTTAAGAGGCTTGGTAGTTTTCACTTTCACTGGGGCGGGGGTGGGGGGATGCAGCCACCATAGGAAAACGTTCAGACCTTCCTGCTGGAGACAGAGGGCATGTATGGGACAAGTGAGGTGCTTCAGCCAATAGCTAACACCAGAGCCTCAGACTTGTGAGTGAACCCCCTTGGGTCCTTGAGCTTCAGTCAAGCTGATATGGAGAAGGATAAGCTGCCTCTGCTGAGGCCTGTGTGAACTTTTTTTTTTTTAATGTTTATTTATTTTTGAAAGAGAGAGAGAGAGAGAGACAGAGTGTGAGAGAGGGAGGGGCAGGGACAGAGGGAGACACAGAATCTGAAGCAGACTCCAGGCTCCAGGCTCTGAGCTGTCAGCAGAGAGCCTGATGTGGGGCTCAAACCCACAAACTGTGAAATCATGACCTGAGCCGAAGTTGGACGTTTAACCACCTGAGCCACCCACGTGCCCCTGCGTGGACTTCTGACCTACAGAATCTTGAGAAAATAAAATGTTGCTTTATGCCACTAAATTTTGGGATATCTTGCTTCTCAGTGAATTCAAAGTCCTTTTTCTTCTGATTTTTTGGGCACTTTTAAGGGACTCAATGGCACATTGCAGAGTTGGTTAGGGCAGGGACCTGTGAAGTAGGGGTGCTTGCCGTTAGGAGTATATAAGATACCCGAGATGGGGAAGAAACTAAGAGGACTTCAAATTATATGCATTCTTGTATTTATTATTTAAAGTATTTATTTTTGGTATTTGTATAATAACCAAAAACACATGTATATGATTTATAAATTAATATGCATGTATTGTGGGAGTGTTAAAAATATTTTACTGACGGAGATGCATATTCAAATAATCTGGGTGCTATTACCTTAGGGAATCGCTACACTGCCGAATGACTTTATTAACTGAAAATAATATGAGTAATTATAATTACTATAATATTTGTGGAGAGATTACTATGTGCCAGGCTTTATACTAAACACTTCACATGCTTCATCACATTTAATTCTTTTACAACCCAGTGAAGTATATACTATCCTTATCCCCATTCTTTGGATAAGAGAGAGTTTCGGAGATGTTACTTGACTTATCCCAGGGTACACAGCTTATAAAAGACACAAACAGGATTCATTGGCATAGCCCTTGGGAGAGAATTTTGGGATTGACTAATAACAGGAATTTGGTTTGCATTAATTAGTAGGATAAAATTTCATTTCAGCAAACACACACACCACTGCCCTATTCATGTCTTCTTTCTTTAAGCTTCTCTGGAAGAATTTTTTTTTTTTTTAATTTTTTTTTTCAACGTTTATTTATTTTTGGGACAGAGAGAGACAGAGCATGAACGGGGGAGGGGCAGAGAGAGAGGGAGACACAGAATCGGAAACAGGCTCCAGGCTCTGAGCCATCAGCCCAGAGCCTGACGCGGGGCTCGAACTCACGGACCGCGAGATCGTGACCTGGTTGAAGTCGGACGCTTAACCGACTGCGCCACCCAGGCGCCCCTGGAAGAATTTTTAAAAAATATTGTATTTAATAGCTCTTTGAAGGATAATACCATTAATTAACATTCTATTTTTTTATAGTTGAGGAAGTACTTTCTCACATATTAGCTTATTTTATCCCCAAAACAACACTTGAGATATGTGCAGTATAATTATCCCTGTTTTACATATGAGTAAAACCAAGGTTCAGTGATCTGTTTTGTTCATTCATTCATTCAGCAAATATTTATTAAGTATCACCTGTATGGTAGGAACTGGAGATAGAGTGATCAACCAAGCAGATCAACAGTGCCCCTGTCTTCTTGGAGCTTACAGTTTAGGGCAGAGTTTGGCAAACATTTTCTATAAAGGGCCATACAGCAAATATCTTAGAATTTGTGGGCCATATGGTCTCTGTTGCAACTACTCTACTCAGTTCTTATAAGATTTACAAAAACCGGTGCTGAGCCAGAATTGGCCCATGGACCCTATTTTGCCAACCCCTATTGCAGAGGATAAAAACACAGTATATAAGGGAAAAATGACTGGACACAATATTCAGATAGTAATGACTGCTATGAAGAAAACAGGATGATGTGATAGAGTGGTTTGGAATTCTGTAGATAGGGTGGTCAGAGACAATCTCACTGAGAATAAAACATTCAAGCTAAAATCTGACAGGAAGGAGTCAGCTGTGAAGAGGACGTTGGAAAAGCATTTCAGGCAGAAAAAACAGCAGGTACAAAGGCCCTGAAGTGGGGCATGTTTGAGGAATTAAAGGGTGGCCAGAGGGAATCAAGGCAGGGAGAGTAGTGGGAGAGGTGATCTAGGATTAGGCTAAATCCAAGCCATGCAGTGTACTCATAACAAGCCACAGTAGGAGGTAGGGAAACGGAGGCAGAGCTACATCTTTTCTTCTGTGCTTAAAAATATTTTATTAGGTGATTCTTTAAAAAAAATTTTTAATGCTTATTATTTGAGAAAGAGACAAAGAGCAAGCAGGGGAGGGGCAGAGAGAGAGGGAGACACAGAATCGAAAGCAGGCGCCAGGCTCTGAGCTGCGAGCACAGAGCCCGATGTAAGGCTCAGACTCACAGACTGAGAGATCATGACCTGAGCTGAAGTCAGCCGCCCAACCAACTGAGCCACCCAGGCACCCCATATTAGGTGATTCTTTTATGGGAAGGGGTCTGGATCGAGTGATAGTATTGCTGAGTCCTTGAGGCAAGGAGACTCCGAGATACAGTTGTAATTGGTGTTATTGCTGGTACTGCAGTTGAGGCGGGGGAAAATACTCACTGAAATAATTCCTGGAAGCTGAGCCACCCGTTCTGGCTGTGTGGAGACACCAGGAGTTTGGTCTCTAAGTCAGGACACTCTGACATGATGGACTCCACTGCTGGGACCACCTCCTCACTGACCACAACACACTTGGCTTTGGATGCTCGCAGCCGATAGAGAATGTCTTTTGCTGTCAGCTGGGTTGTTCCTGGCATGAAGACCAGCCCTGAGGAGAGAGGGCCCTGAGCTGAGCAGAACTCTTGTCCATCAGGTAAGATTGTAGACTGTTGAAATAGGCTCTGTGCTTGGTAGAGAGGAATTGTGGATTATAGCCTTTAGCTACCGTTGTCTCGGTCCCCAGGGACATCCTACAGGACCTTGGTCACTGGGAGATCATTAGAGTACTGGCTTTAGATTCTGATAGTCCCTGGGTCTAATTCTGTCCTTGCAACTTACTAGCTTTGTGACCTTGAACATGTTACTTGATCTCTCTGTGCCTTCCTTTCCTTATCTGAAAAATGAGGGAAAATAGTAGTAAGTGTCTGGCATATAGTAGGCATTATAATGGCATAACATTTTTGTGAAACATTTGCATCATTATTATATAATACTTAAATAGCACTTTACAGCTCATAACATATTTTAATGAACATTATCTTAGTCAGTCCTCTGAACCAGTGGTCTCCAAAGTGAGTTTTGCAGGGTAACCCACTGAGGATGAGAAGAAAAATTAGAATGAAAAAATTTTATTGCGATATTAGAATTCTTTGTTTTAATCTCATTTTTGTATATATTTTATAACATGCATGCTATATTAGTACAGAAGAACAATATAAATATTATATCCAGATGGGAGGATGTGTGTCCCAAATATTTTTATTGATAGTTTGTGCAATCAGAAGAGCCTGGAGACCACTGTTCTAAAAAGCCATGTAGGTCCATGCAGTTGTTGACATTTGATGGAATGTGAGATTGAGTCATAGCCAGTGAGGGGCAGAGTCAGCCCTCAAACCTGGGTCTTTTCAGTGGTCTGGAATCATCAAAGTTTGTCTACACTCCTTTGGCACTCCTTTGGCAATGTTTAGTTTATCCCACCTCTTCACTTCATTCTAAACACTGGCCTGAGATGGACCTGATTTTAAACTAGCAGTTCCTTATGAGAAGGACATATATAGGAGAATTAGATGAAAAGCAGAGGGAAGGTGGTTTGCACTTTCTAAAGTGAATCAGTGAAGGAAAACAGAGTTTATGTAAAGCATTACGAACAGCCACTGAGCACTTATTAGGCCTCCGCTATCTCACTTAAAACCAGTCCCAGTGTATAGACAACAACTAGCCCAAGAGTCACAGAGTCTGTAAGTGGCAACCAGGATTCAAAGATACATTTACTGGACTCACCAGACCTGTACTCTATAGCAGACTACTTATTTCTTGGTGAGTTTCCTGAAGTCAGCTAAATGGGAAGAAGTGGACTTGAATTCCTAGAAAGAGACTTTATTCATTGAATATATTTTAAAAGCTCTCATGTGTCATTCTCCTCTTGAGAAAATGAATAAATATATGACAATAAGGAAGTTAATCAAGGAGATACCTTACAGGACCTCAGATAGTGCACTGTATGTAAAAATATAAGATTATTTATTTTGCAAATACTTGTTCTTAATGGCTCAGAAATTATTAGTACTCTTGGTAGATTTTTGACATGAATGTGTTCAGTGCATAGCATGGGGGTTAAGGAAATGTTCTCTTCTGGTGGACTTCAGAGTTTAACATTATAGCAAAAGTGAAATATTTTGCCACATTAGGTGCAATACAAGTATCTCAATATTCACTCAGAAGATTTAATAATTCTGAATTAGAATTATGAATTATAAATAATTCTGAATTAGAAAACAATCCTTAGGTGATTGCTTAACACTTAATTAACTGAATGTTTTTGATAATTTGGCCTGGGGGGTTGTTTTTAATCTTGGCATTTCACAAATTGCTTAAATTATGTTAAATAATATTAAGTACATTTTTAATCACAAACCACTTTCAATCTCCGTCCAACATACAATTGGTTTCACATTTCCAAGTTCCTTTTTATACTAGATACAAAAAGTACTTTATATATTGCTTTTATAAAATTTAAATTGGTAATTAAGAGCATTTTCTAATACCATTGTGAAATCCTTATAATTATCTTTTTAATGATATCCCATCAAGTTTGAGGTATCATAATTTCAACTAGCAATAAACACTTCTATTAAACTTGATTTAATCATTTCTATGTAGTTGTTTCCAATTTTTTTCTCTTGTTAATGATATTGTAGCAAAGATCTTGTGTTCTCTATGTATTATATCCTTTAATATTCTTACTTTTTAAAAATGTTTATTGATTTATTTGGGGGTGGGGTGTGAGCAGGGAAGAGGGGCAGAGGGAGAGACAGAATCTTAAGCAGGCTCTATACCCAGTGCAGAGCCTGACATGGGGCTTGATCTCACAACCATGAGATCTTGACCTGAGCTCAAATCAAGTCAGATGTTCAATCAACTGAGCCACCCAGGTGCCCCAGTATTTTTATTTACCTTTAGTTGATTTATAGACATTGTGTCATGCTCTACAGTAGGTATTGGAAACTTTTTCAGTGAAGCACCAGATAGTAAATATTTTAGGCTTTGTGGACCATCCCATCTCTGTCTCAATTAGCAATTCTGCTGTTGTAGAGCAAAAAGAGCTGTAGACAATATGCAGATGAAGGAGCATGGCTGTATGCCGTTACAACTTTAAAGCTTTATTTACCAAAATAGATGGCCAACCTGTAGGCCATGGTTTTTGCCGACCTCTGTCCTAGAGTGAAAAAAAAATTCTAGAATTTTTATTTGGGGTAAAATATAAATTATTATTTTTATAGAAAATGTGTCATTGAATACATTAATCTTTTTGCCTGGAATGAGGCAGAGGTTTTCCAACTGGGATCTGCAGTCATATTCTTATAAGTCCTTGTATTCTAAAATGCTTTTTCTTCCTTTAGTGTTTTAAAATCTGGGAGAATCCAAATATATTCAAGAAAGTAAATTCAGGACTATCTGGCTAAATACATCATAACCAGCTCTGCGAAAAGGCATTAGTGTCCACATTTGCTTTGACAGAGTTTTTGTTTAAATCCCAATTGCATAGCTTTCTAGCTGTGTACCTTTGGACAAGCTTCTTAAACTCTCTGAACCTCAGTTTCCTCTTTTGCAAAATGGGCATCACAATAATACCCACCTCTTTTTTCTTTTCTTTCTTTCTTTCTTTTTTTTTTCTTTTAGCAATACCCACCTCTTAAAATAGTTGTTATTATTATTACTTCATGGTTCCTCTTCATCATAACTCTTATTTCTCTGTTCTCTGTAAGCATGGCTTCAGTTGGAACTAACAATTCAGAAAAACCTCAAATGTCAGTCTCTCTCTGTTTCTGCATGATTTAGAAATGTTAAATATTGGCACTGACCTGTTCGCATACAAGCCACGTTTATAAGCCACCACTCTGGGATACGGGGCAGAATCACAGCCACTCGGTCTCCTCTCTTTAGGCCACAGGGCTTGATGAGCACGTTGGCAGCTTTTCGGGACAAGGAGCCCAGTTCTTCAAAGCTCCATTTCACCTCAGCCCCTTTGCCATTCACCCACCATAGGGCTGGGTTGGCTGGTCTCTCTCCTGTCTGGCCATGGGCACATGGGAAAGAGAGAAGGCTTATATGACTGGTCCACCAAATAGATGGGACATCTGCCATTACTTCTTCTCAGCACTTGTGCTGGTGGATTCTGGTAACAGCACCTTAGTTTGTCATTGGAGGACCTACTCCTCTCCTATTGAATATAGCTTAGGTGAGACAACCCATCAGGGTAATTGTCCACCCACCAGTGAGAGACATGTGACCTATATTGGGTGAATCAGACCTTCTGTCCCTGATTTTGAGTTTTCTGAGAAGAACAAAAAGAATATAGTTGAAACAAAATCTGTGTATGAGCTCTTGGTGCTTCTATATCTCCAGGGAGCTATCCTGGTTCCTGTTCTTGCTGAAACTGACTGTCCAGCTTGCAACCCATTTTTGTGAGCACTCCTATGTCCAATAAATTTCTTTCTTGCTTAAAATAGATTCTGTGCAATCCAAATAACCCCAATGGTTGTACTAAGGTTGATTAGGAACAAAGCATCTTTTTCTTTCTATCTATCTATCTATCTATCTATCTATCTATCTATCTATCTATTTTTTAGAGAGAGCACACACATGTGTGCCCACATGACTGGGGGGAGTGGCAGAGAGAGGGGGAGAGAAAATCAAGCAGGTTCCACACTCAGCATGGAGCCTGATTTGGGGCTCAATCTCATGACACTGAGATCATGACCTGAGCTGAAATCAAGAGGCAGATACTTAACCAACTGAATCACCCAGGTACCCGACATCTTTTTTTTTACCCAAAAGACTGAGGGATGGTTTTCAGAGAAAACAAAAAATAGGATGGTGGGCCTTTGGGGGAGGCTCATCAACTGATGGATTTTTGAAGGAAACTTCTCCTATGATTCTACAAAATACACTGTCTATACTGAAAAACCTCTTCACTTTGTGAATTACCCAAAAAAAATTACTCCTCTTTTCTTCCCTTTTCTGGAACTCTCTTTTTACCTTCTCTGGTTAGAAAATATTTCAAAATCGGGGCACCTGGGTGGCTCAGTCGGTTAAGTGTCTGACTTTGTCTCAGGTCATGATCTCACACTCCGTAAGTTCAAGCCCCTCGTCAGGCTCTGTGCTGGCAGCTCAGAGCCCTGGAGCTACTTCGAATTCTGTCTCTCTTCCCTCTCTCCTCCCCTCCCTGTCTCTCTCTGTCTCAAAAATAAATTTAAAAAATTTTTAAAATTTAAAAAAAGTATTTCGAAATTCAATTTCAATTTCACTTCCTCTCTGAAGCCTTTCTCAGCCTCCTCTTCTCTTCTCTGACTTCTCTGTATTCCCACAGCATTGTGCTCAGATGCCAGATGACTATGTTATATTGTATCATAATCCCTACCCTATGGGTGTAAGATTAGGGTCTGACTCATGTACTCTTGGGACTGGTGACCTTGGATAAGGAACTTAACTTCTATGAGGTTAACTTCCTTATTTGCAATCCCCCAGCATGGTGATGGGGATTTGGTGAAATAATATAGGTCAGTATTTCTTTTTTTTCTTTTTTTTTTTTTAATTTTTTCAACGTTTATTTATTTTTGGGACGAAAGACAAGAGCATCTGAAACGAGGGGAGGGGCAGAGAGAACACAAGAATCAGTAAAAGCAGGCTCCAGGCTCTGAGCCAACCAACCCAGAAACCCGGCGGGCTTTCGAACTCTCCTGGACGAATCGTGACCTAGCTGGCTGAAGTCGGACGCTTAACCGACTGCGCCACCCAGGCGCCCCTAGGTCAGTATTTCTTAATCTTTAGTCATTTGAGTATCACTACTTTTGTCAGATCTGTTTACACCTGTGCTATTGTTCTTTGTATTTTTCTTTACATTCACTCCTTTTTACTTGTATACATTTACTTAAGAAGGAAAATGTGTTTGGCTATTATTGGTAAAACCAGTACTGCTTGCTAAAAATAGGTTACTGAAAAATAAATATATTGAAAATAAAGTATGCCCTTAAATTTTGTCTAGAGATATTCAACTTCTACCTGCTCTTTCTGTTCAAAAGAGAGTTTAACGAGTGTAAAAGAGCTGTTAAAGATGTAATGGACTTAAAGGAAGACTTTCCCCTTAATTTAATAGGAAAGATTGATTCAATGTTATTTAATATTTTGTATATCTAGTATCTGCATCTTTTGAGGCACAGGTCCTTGCAAATGACTATTATTATTAAACCGAAGCTCAAATTACTGTTTTTTCCATAAATCTGTAGCTAGCCTGAACAGGTGAACGGAGAGCAAAGAGCTGCTGAAGGAAATGAAAGAAAAGAGAAAATGAAGGAAAAGAGGCAGGGCTCTGTGAGTAACTACCATGAGGGGGTCTGAGGAAGATCCAGAGAAAGACAGTATGTGGAGTTGAGGATCAAAGATCTTCCCTGGGGAGAGAGAAGAGCAAGTGGAAAACAAACAAAGGAGACCCAGAGGGATGAAAGAACTGAATTAAGAGTGACAAATGGACCACAGAACAAGGAAATGGAAGGCTGAGACATAGGTGGATACCAAGCATCCAATGGAAGCCTATCATGTCATACCTTTTCTTTTTGGGACCACTGGTCCAGCACATCCCCAGCAAAGTTAAAGTTTTTAGGCAATGATCTCTCACAGCGATTTATGGCTTCAAAGTCAGCAAGAGTCAGAGGTGCCCAAAGCTGGTGATCTTTGTGAAGGTACCGGCCAGTTGGCCTGGCAAGCCAAATGAATCTGAACATCTGATAGCGGAAAAAAATCATGATTTCCAAAGGGCTTTGTCAACTGATATGGATGTGGAAGTTCTGTAGCCTGTGGGGAGAGATGGGTAGGGGAAGCGTTAGTCTCTCTGGTTGCTCTGTGGTGAGACTGGGGAGTGGACTTGTGGCTGTGTGCTCCCCAGGGAGTTGGGGAACACCTGAAAAACACTCATCCTTTTTCAGGGCTGTGGCAGTCAGCCATGGACTAGTCTCCCTACCACTGACCTCTCCTCTTCGTTCTGTCTGTGATCAGGTTATTCTTCAAAACAAAGCTGACAACTATAGAATTGCCAAGCTTCCATTTTTCGTCCCTATCTTCTCCCCCAACCAAACAATAGACAAACAGTATTTTGCTGCCTCAATAGACATTCAAGCCCTGCTTCTGTCTGCCTCGTACTCTATTCTAACTGTATTTTGTAACTCCTCTACTTGAATTTCCTCTTCTAGTTAAAGCAGTCCACTTATTTTCATGAATGCCTATTTCCAGCTCTAAGATTTAGTCTGTCATTCACCTTTCCTCTGGCTTCCCTACTTTCTTCTCCCCTCAGTCCTTCATTATAATTGGTTAGAAACCTTGATTTAAGTCCTGGCTCAGCAACTTTCTGATAATAGGACTTTGGGTAAATCACTTACCCTTCCTGCACCTCCATTTTCTCATGTGTAAAATGGAGGAGGGGAGGAATATAATACCTCTCTCCTAGGGTTATTATGAGGATTTAATAAGATAATGTATGTAAAATAACCAGCATGTAAAAAGTACCTTCAAAGTGTTTTTTTTTTGTTTTTTTTTTTTT